AAATGGACACGCGCTCACAATTAATGAGGTGCGCGATTCCGGATGAGTTCTAACAACTTTTTTGGAGTTAAAAAGTAATCATGCACTGCGATACGAAAAAATCATCAGGAAAGTCGCGATTGACTCCCAGCTTTGGTGCGGTTTAAACGATATAGGCAGATTGTCAAATTTGTTTTCAGATGCTGATTGGTTCAAAAAAAAAAATAATTTGTTTCGACCATTAAAGATGAACAAAAAATTACGTCATGATAAACACTATAAGTAATTATCATAACAAAAGAAAAATTTAATTCAGCAACATTGACACAAGAATGAAAAATGTATTCTTGACAAAAAACAATAGCATGGTGAAGTTTTAGCAGAGAATGAAGAAGACCGTTTACTGTTTGTTTCAAGGGTGTGGATGTGCAGGAGTAAGGCTATGAATGTGATCTTCCTTCATTCACTCACACTCTCTCGTTATATTCGTCAATATGATTATCAATCATCATTAACAATATATAATTGATTAGTTATAAGTGGAAATTTAGCTGAAACAACTAAATGTATGTTAGCTGTTAATATCTTTCTTCAGTTTTGTATTTTCTTAAACACAAGCTATGAGCCTTCGTATACAGAATAAAAACGTTTTTGGTATTCATTTGCGTTAAAAAGGAAAAGAAATACAAAAATTACTTTTTCTGATGTTACATTCTACGTTTCACAAATAAATTTTTGTTGATGATGTTTTGTTTTACATAATAAAAAACAATGATTGATTATTTCCTAGAAAAAAAAAACTTAAACCAATATCTGGGATGTGGACGGGAAACTAATGTCCACATCAAGCTCCGCACCGACATCCACCCACATCCACGACCACACCGTAAAATTTTTTCGAACTTTTCTCCAATGATGAATGACTGAGTATTTGAAATTTTGGAAATCGCTAAACTGTTTCAAATAGTAACATAATCGGAGACCTAGATGGATTTATGATTTGTAGAAATAGGTTGTTGTTTTTGCGTACACTCACCGAGATCACCAGAAATTATACTAAACTAAACACTTTAATAGTATTTGATTAGCCCAAACTCTAGAAATCGTAGGATGCGACTGTGTATAAGGATGTAGGTGTGATTATGAGCGTACATACGGGTTACATAATCTGCATATCTACACTCACCACCTGCCATACTCCATAAATACCCATCAATTAGCGGGACCCATCATTTCTTTGAAAGTTTGATCAAAATGTTGCCTGAAAACTGCATGAGAGCTAGGCAAATCCAAAAAACACGAAGTCAGTTCGATCAGTGATCTCAAATTCATTCCGATACGCTTTGTTTCAAGAAAATGACGCTTCTTCCAGATCTTCACTTTTTCTTTTATTGCCTAGTGTCATAGGCCAGTCTCTACTTTCCGAATAACGTGATAAAAAATAATAGAAATCTCTTAATTTGAGATGGAGAAATAAATATGATCTGAATGCCGCCTACTATTACTTTCCTGATGTCCCGCATTGCTTTTGCCGTGGCATATTCTGTGACTTCTCAAAAACTAAAAGCTCGTGCTCACTCGTTTTGATCTTCTCTGAGTCAGCTATTCTGTATTCTCTACTACCATTTTTCGGAGCTTTCATTCGGCCATTTTTCAGAACCGTAAAGTGTCTGACAATTAACATGTTCTGTTTTCATCATTTTCAGGTGTCAGCAACTCGGCATATAACAATCAAGACATTGAAATATTGTCTCATCGTATTGAGCTCCTGGATCAAAAGGCCTTGAAGAGGATAGTGAAAAAAAACGCGGGCCCCTGTAGAATTACACAGAATTCAGCTAAACGACCAGCGTATGCAGTATTCTATCAATCTGAGGAATTATCTACCAGCGAAGGAAGACGTCAAAACAGTTTTTCTATCAGTGGCACTTATACACGGTAACCATCCATACGGACATGCCTATCTTGAATTTGATGCGTACCAAGAAGATTGTAGTAATGATCAGAAAACCACTTTCATTGAACAAGCATATAACGCCTAGTTTATCATACATAAGTAAGAACTGATTGTTCCATGGAATACTGAGGAAAACCATAGATCGTTCAATTTAATAATTAATATTACTTCGTTGTACAATACTAGAAATTATCTCAATACTGGAAACCAGAATTATTTTCAAATTGCATAAACTCATTGCAAGAGCAGTACGAAAACATGTCATTGAATCCTATCACTACGCGTTGACATTCTAGTTTCTTTTTACATTTTAATATGTGTTTGTTTCCATTTACATCTAAAGAAAACAATGTTCATCGGATGCCGCTTCATTTTTCGGTATACTGAAAGATGATGAAAACTAATGTGAGCATGGAGCGGTCGTTGGGATGAGTTCTGATTTTACGCTCTCATACGCTCACACTCACAGTTTTCATCGCATTCTAGTTTCATTGCAATAATTGATGTAATACACTCACTCCAGCAATACATTTATGAGTCATGCAACCCTCTAGATAACGTTGAGATGTGCATGTTTGCGTTGCTCTCATTTGAGATAAAATATACGTATGGATAAGATCATTTTTCTGCTTCCAACTCAATTGCCGTTTTTTTCAGTTTGCATTAAGACATGATGCCTGATGACATTTCAAATCTGAGTTCCCACACATTGCGGTAGTACACGCGAATCTTCTAGAAAGAGTTTTAACTGTAAGCTAGTTAAAACGCATATTCATTGCTAGATCCAAGTGCGCTGATTAAGAATATCATTATATAGAGTATTTGAAGTCCTTAAATAAACAGTTAAAACAATCCTTTTTCAGTTTTTCGCCTATATATTTTCGCCATTGATGCTTTACTCGAACATGAAATAGGAAAGTTCCTTAGAAATATAATCAACTATAAAATTTTGGATTATCAATGCGATATCTGCTTGTTTTCCTCTGCAACGAAAACTGCGAGTTTCGAGATTTCATCATAGAAGACAAGAAGCAATTTTTAGTGTAGGCTGACTCTTTCATTTTAATGATCTTTTCTATGACGAACTTAAAAAGGCAAAAAAGTGGTCTGCCAAGCCTTTTATGGGGTTCCTGGACAAAACTTGATAGAAGTTTTAATCTTCGACTTTCAAATGCACACGATATTTCTTTTGACGACGATGTCAAAGAAAGATATCTATAGAGATTTCTTGTGGGTTTGCAATTTGAAGCAAAGTTAGCCAAATTTCAGAAGAAAGTAAAATATGATATAAATCTTTATTATGTCTTCGTCATGTCTAAAGATATTATAAAAATTTACAAATATTACATACAGATGGATAGTAATATTTATTGTCGCTTTCACATGTTTATATTGAAGACTGAAAGCTTGAGACTTGAAAGTTCTTCGTACGACTATATTTAAGTTTCAAGTTGAACACTACTGAAATTTTGTGAAAAATACTGCATTATTGCAAATAGGTAAGAATTTTTATGTAAACATGAAGAAAGAAAGAAAAAAATCAATGCAACTGTTTTAAGTAGCGCATCGTCGACGAAGACCATTTAATTCTCAATGTTTCTTTTTAGTCATCTACTTTCTTCAAATAACTCGAAAACCTGACGACACCTTAACCGGTGTTGAATGCATGCATTTTTTGCTTGCCTCTTTGTTATTGTTGATAATTTTTCATTCTTTGTGTTTCATTACACACACTAGGGTGTTCACATAAAAAGAAGTGTCTTTCAAGGTCAATAAAGTAATTCTCTAAACAAAAACTAACCATCAAATTTATAAAATGTGAAGAACACAAACAAACTGAAACTCTTCGCTACCCATTAAATTTTTTTCCTTCTTCGAGCTGTAGATTTGAATATTTTATCGAAATCAAAGAACGAAATTCACCATGGGTTGTGGATCATCATCAGAAATGAGCGTTATTAATCCTGTAGCGCCTCAAAGTAATAATAAGAGTGAGTTAAAGAAAATACCTAAGGGTGTGGGTGTGGGTGTGGGTGTGGGTGTGGGTGTGGGTGTGGATGTGGGTGTGGGTGTGGGTGTGGGTGTGGGTGTGGGTGTGGGTGTGGATGAAGACGATAATCAGACTTACATTCACATCGATACTCCACAAGTTGATAGTTCCTTTTTTTCTTCTTATACAGATGTGTACTATTAGTTTGATAAGATGTTAATAATGACGAATTCTGTTAGTACACTAGGGTTTTTACAGAAAGTCAAATTAAATTTTTTGATAGTAATTACATTTGGATCAATCTCACGTGCGATATCAATATACAACGATACATGACAATAGTATCAAACTATTTGAAACATTAATCGTCATGATACAAATTCAATGTTTTTATTAGAATTAACCTCAGGGAATCTTATTCATATCAGAAAAAGATAAACATGTATCTCATTATGGTCGAGTAATAGATTTTATTATCGCTAGAAGCCTACAAATTACCTGATTAATTTATAATACATTTTCATCGTGAGCATGATTCATTATATGAAAAGAAGGGGGCAGTTTTTAAGGCATCTTACTCTTATTTCTTTGAAGAAGTATGTCACTATTACATCAAATCGCATCACGTAATTGTTAACTGTTTGACAGTTTGTGAGAATTTTCTACGTTCTGCCTTACTCTGATGATGATACGTCTGTAAATTGCGCCTTCTTCTTTCTTTCTTTTTTGCATTATTCTCCTCGTGTACATTAATAGAACAACAAATGCAGCTGTAATGTGAATCGGACGTCATCCGTCAAAATGAAATCCTATTTTTACCGTACGCTGAACCAACGAAGAAATTACTGGTCGTTAAGAACGTGTGTCATTGTGGGAAATACCTGACTGGGATTAAATATAGATGTGTGAAAAGAAAATATTCAATCGATGACATCTGAATGTGTAATTGGTTATGCATAGAATCTTATTGGGGAAAAACCCGACCACTGATATATAAAAAGATCTCCTTATGTTCACGGTATCCCGTACCTGTACTTACGTATTTATTCAATTTTCATCATCTTATTATAAGTAATGGATCGATATTCTTCTCGTACGAAGGCCATTCGTGCACGTGCATTCAAAGAATCATCTGGTGACATACAACATCACTTTGTCACTACTACACCACCATCCGATGTTGACTCGTCTTATGATCAAGAATATCAAACTTTGTTCAAGAATAAAGGAATGAGAAAAGCCGAGCAAGTTCTTCAATTTGTTGATGCTGAATATCGGCTATGGCAATCAAGATCGACATTACAATCCAGCAGTGACGAAGATTGGACGTCCTTGCGCAGCTCAACGGCTGTAGTGTCCATTGGAGGAGCTGATGGATCTGAACTGCTTGCACTTTTGAAGGCTTTGAGTTCTTGTCACGGTATTCTCGTAGAAGTCAGTTCAAGTGCAGCTGCTCAGGCTCGTGCTAACGGAATTGCCCATGTGATTGAGGCTGACGTTATGGATGCCGCACGGGAAGTCATATTGACGCTAATCAAGTTGCAACAACAAGGCAAAATCTCAAGTGTTCTGTTCAGCTGCCAATCAGTACTGCACGAACTACCTACCCGTTCATCAAAATTTACCGAAGAAGAATTTCTGAATGCCTACTTGACGCCACTGATAGCATCAGGCTTTCGGACGATGTTTTATGCTCGGGAGCCATGTCCACCACTTAACTGGTCGTGCGAAACTGATTTGATTGCTATTCGTTTGTTCAACCTACATAAAAATGACGTGAAAGACGTGTCTTATCATATTGCCAACAAACTTAATATTCAACGATTGGATGATCTAAGAAGTAACTTAACTGACAGCGAATTTCCTAGTAACATATTAGCCACTGATCATAACGACGAGAATGGACGGGTAGTTTTGTCAGTGACTTTGGGCCAAGAAGTTCTATTCAAACTGCTCTATTGGAAAAATATAATCCACTTTGAATATGAGATGGGAGAGCAATTGACTTCTTTTCAACCTGAAATTTGGTCTTTGTTGCTGAAGAAGATTGGCATGTACACCAAAATATCGTATCTTACCACGGAAAATTTCGGTAACCTGTACGATTGCGAAGAAACCTTACTTGGAGAACCAATTGCCGTGAATGTCCGTAATGGTAATGCTTTACCAATGCCCAAGTGTTTCGCGCAAATATTTTCATCCAATGTTAGTGTTGATAATACATGAAGTCAGCTAGCATATCAGGCTTTGAGCATACTGTAGTTGATAGAACATTTGCTCTAAGAAACCTGATAGTTTTTTACATCCATATAATTGGACTCAAAAGTTGAAATACAGTCTGTGCGAACTAATCTTGAATAACTTCAATGTCTTTCCGTTGACTTTTAATTAAACTTTATTTTTTCTTGCCGTTTGACTTTTCTGTAAAATATACTTGTTTATTGCTTGTGTTCTTTCTGTGAATATAATGTTCTATAGCGGGCGTGACTGTCAGTGTTTTACTTATAGACAATCACCCTCGATCCCGTACCCACAGCAACCTACACCTCACATCCTCCTTAGAATAAGATATGACAACAATTCAATTTTTTCGATTTATATTTATACTATAGCTTAATGATGTCTCTGCTCTTGTATGTAATTATCGTCAGAAATTCTTGGATACACCTCATCGGAATACTCTGTCGTATATATCTTGACATCCTCTTTCAAACAGAAGAAACGATCGTTGGTTGCAATGAAGCCTGTTTAAGAACTCTAAGGTGCACCACAGAAAAAAAAACAAATAGAAAAAACGAATAATGGTTTTCCATTTTATGTGAAAAAAAAAACATATTTTTCAAGCAGAAGATGACGAAAAGTTTTGGAAAGAATGAGGTACCACATAGAAAATCATGTCATGTATGCAAGATTTGACTTTAGACTGTGTCCCGATATATTCATCGCAATTTTCATGTTTTTGATGACAATTGACTTCTTTTGGAGAGGAGAAGAAGGAAGGAGATAGCTTGAATCGAATAACTTTATAACTGCTTTTGATGAAATTCATTTTTCCAAAGCAAATCTCATATCTATTTAACATCATCATGACCAATCCTTGCTTTTGAAAATATATATAAACATTGCTCTCTATTGTTTTTTTTTCTATCACATTTATCATAGTTGATGTGCGCTGAATATGTAGTTTTTGAAGCAAAACTTCGCTTATGCATTTACTGTCATCAGGTGTAAATTCGTTTGTCATTTTTAAAAATTAAAAATGACTATGTCACTAATTATATGAAAGATATTTTTCTTTGCTAACAACCAAAAAATCGACTTGCATGTGCAACCAAAAGGTCCTACATAAAAGGCATCCCGTCAAGAATTGCTTTTTCTTGACTCATCATTACTCAGTTCGGATCTGTTTAGTTTTAGACAACTTCCTTTCTTTCTCCTGGACGGCCGACTGTGTTTGACCTTCCATCCCTTTTTTCGAGCGTCGCTTAGAGATGATCCCACATTTCTGCATTGAAATACAGAATAATGAACGTCAAAAACCAAACTATCAATGTAGAGATTAATTTTCCAAAACTTTTTTCCAACTTTATCAAAACTGATATAAATCAATAAATAAAACAAACAACTTATTATTAGTATCCATGAACATTTTCTTATACACAGTATCATTCTGTTGGTATTCTTATTCTTTAATTCGTAGACATTGAATAAGATAATGAAATCGAAGAATTTATTCTGCCTTTTTACAATGTACAGTTCGATAGTCTTCAGTATTTTTACTTTAAAATGCATAGTGAAAACTGACGTTGATATTAAATATATCATCAATTGAATAGATAGAAGAAAATCATCGATTATCCTATGTAAGACATGTAATTTCAACAGATGTATTTTCAATTTAGAAGATCAGTAAAGTATTTTGAGTATCAAATTTACATTTAAATGAGAAATTCATATTAAACTGGTTGACATACAATCGAATCATAATAGCAACAAATCAATAGTCTTTACGTTGAGATAGTAGCTGCGAAAGTAGATGGTTGTGAAGATTTAAACCCCATAGCCCCTTCTGATCTAATAGTTGAAAGTTGTTTGTTCTCTCGTCATCTTGAGACGCTTCGTGCTACCTCAACATACAGAATATTGCAGACGAACGTAATAAAAATATTTCGAACAGTCATATTTCCCATATCCTTGATAATATATTTTGTATTAATGTATCAAACTGATAATCTTATCAAATATTTCCATCAAGATTAGATGATAGGATCCATCAGTTTAGTACGGTATCTAACGATTTCTAATAAGCGTTCATTAATGTCTTCTAATTCGCCGTTAATAATATGTACAAATTTAACACATTACCCTCAAATGTCCACTAATATTGGATAGTACTAGAAACATGATTCAAAAGACATAAAATGATGTGACCTACAATTAACTCTATTGTTTGGTAATACAGAGCTTGATGCGCTATCAATCGGGAAAAAAGATTATTTTTCCTGTCATTGGCCTGTCTCTGAAATGCATGACGTAAAAAATCGATAAGACTGAGAAAATAATATTTTTCTTAGAAGGATTTTTCTCTACTTGCAGACGGAATACATCTCGAAAACGTACTGTACGATATATATCGACAAAAATATGTACTAGTGAATGAAATGCGTTTCTGCTAGCTTGGCAGATAAGCGATACTAAATCATTAAATAGACCCTGCAGTAATCATTACAAAGGATAAATGAAGGAATAACATATGTCATGTTTAGGTCTTTTGTAAACCTTATTACATTAGAAGTTGAGCAGCATATTTATCATTGATTATTTTATTACTTAGTGACTAAGATGGTATTTTCTCGAAACTATCATGTAGAAGGGAAAAGTAAAAGTTTTTAAATCTCTCTATTCTCTTTCTTTCTTTCTTTCAATAGTCATCCAACTGATCACATTATTCCGCCTAAAGTGAAATGCATCTCATCATTCTATCCAATTCAGATGAGAATATCTTATAACATAGAAAACAAATCTTATGATGTTAGACTCCTCATTCAACAGCTCATTTTGCTGTCTGTATCCTCAATAAAAATTCCATGTAAAACGGGTTCAGTTTGCCTGATTTACGAAGTATGTTTTTGGCAGTCATCTCTTGCGAGTTGATGTCAATTGTCGAAAAGTGAGCCATATCTCTGGCTAACTTTAGCCATTTGCCTTGAAAATTTCAAGATTGGAATTTATCAATGGCGAAGAAATTCATGTTGAGACTCTCAGACAACAGCGGACTAAAGTGTCTTATCTGTAACACAATATAGGCATGCAATTTTTATTTGTTAATAAAGAAATGAAGGTCAACATATTTAACTAGCGGAAAAGCAGAAAAATGTCAAAGAGACTTTTTTTCGACCTTAGAAAGAAAAACCAATGTTTTCATTATAAATTCTTTACATTGAGCTCCATCGACCTCAGGTTACTGTTTTCGATCAGAGTTTACCGATCTCTATTTGTAATCAAAATTAAGTAAAAGGATAGTGAAGAAATATAAATTAGCAGCAGCTTACATGTTCAGAGATATTAGGTAACTTAAGATCAATGTACTATCATGCATGATATCGGATTAGTCTACAAGAAATTAAATTTACCATGTTTTACTTTTATGCTTTTCAAGCTATTATGACTTTCATATTTTTTGACTCTTTTCTCCAATTGGATATGGGTCGAATGTGTGTTGATTAGCGCGATTCTTTCACCCACACTCAGACAAACACTCGAATGGACTAAAACGACGAAAATACGCTGCAGCTTTAAAGGTATGGAAGTCTTTATGTATCTAAGATACTTGGAATGACTGACCAAATCTTGTCACGCGAAGAGGTTCTAAACTTAATAAGAAAAGAGGGCGATTTTGCAATATTAGTACCATAAAAAAAAACTTACAAAGTACCATTGAAGTTTGGCATAATTGTCGATAAGTTATGTTACATAAGAAAAAAAAAGCTTTCGAAGTCTCGCGCAGGTTTCTATCCAGAATAGATAGAATAAAACAACAGCTACGCCGTAATGTGGCATTTTAATCCGTAGGGATTACAATAAATTAAAATTAAAATAGTTTGATCTTGCTTTACTTCATAGATAATATATTTAAAAGAAAAAGAAATACAAATAATACACGAATATTTCTACAAATAGATATATATAGAAAAAAAGAAGCTTCGATTTTTTTTATTTTCGTGCTTGACGAATTGGACGTTTTGGTTTTGGTTTCGTTTTCTTCGTTTCATCAGGAGGCGACATATAACTAAGTGCACCAAATATAGCAACAAAAAGAATAATGAGATAATCAATAAAAATAAGTACATATGCAGCTTTATATAAATTTCCATGACAATATTCAGGTAAATCAGGATCAAAAAGTTCTACATGTGTTTTAACTTCAAATACAATAACTTGTCCAGCAATAAACCATCCAATAACAAATAGAAAAAGAACAATAAATATTGGAATAAGAATTTTTAAAATCATTGAATTCGATTTAGAACTATCATAAGAAGATGATGATCTTCTATTAGTTTGTAGATAAATTATTACACCCACAGCTACAAAAGCAATACCAAAAGCGCCACTAAGAATCATATAAACAAATATAAATTGTCGTATAGTACATCGACCAATATAAATAAAACCAATTATAAATTGTGATATTGGTACACCAGCATAAAGAAGAATTGAAATAAGAAAATAAATTGAACCATAATACCCTACTGGAGGTTTACGAGAAGATTTTTCGGATGATTTCGTTCGATTAGATAATGATGGATCAGGATCATATTGTAAAGGTACAAGATAATCAACATTTTCATCTGTTGGATTTTTATATGTGACTTTCTTAGTTTTAGTTGACATGATAGAGTTTATATCTAAAAAAAAAGATAAATAATATATTTTGTATGCAATTATTTACGTGAATAATATTTAATAAGATAAATATCTTTCAATTATAATTATTTAGTATTTTCTCGATAAAGCAAAAAAAATCAGTTTTATAATTTAAAAATAATTTTGAACCTTTCAATGATTTTATATTTTCAAACGAAAATAAATCTATAGAAATGATCAATATCTATCATCTTAAATGATAAACGATCAATATGTCTCACCTTATTTCTTCTCCTTCTTCTTCTGTTATATAATTGTCAATGTATGACTACACACCATTACTAGTTCTCTGTTAGTACGACCTTGAATGTCAAGCATGTTCATTCTTCTTTCTTTTCCGTCAAATTTTTTTTTTTTTTGTGTTCTTTTGAAACTTTTTTTTATTTATCCATGTATATTAGTGTTACCATTCTTACCGTAGCTGGCAGAGAAAAAGAGAAATGTAGGATGTTGGTTTGAGTGGTCTATTATAAATAAGAAAAGAAAACGAGAAGAAACTAAAACGACAACGGTGTGATGACAACGCATAGAAGAAAAAAAGACGTAAAAATGCCAGGAAAGAGAAAACGTGGAGTATGATTTTGAGTTTGTGTGTGTGTGTGTGCAATAAACTGCCAGTGATATAAAGAAAAAAAATGTAAAGGACATGTACATAAGCGAAAGTAAGTGCATGTAAAAAAAAAAAAAAAGGAATTACTCTTCTCGGTTCTTATGTCAAAATTGAGAATTAGAAGAAAAAAAGAAAGAGTTGACCTTTATATCAAAGACATTTTATACATATCATTTTCCAAAACTTTTTTAATTTATAAGAATTATGACGAAGTATTTTAAAAAAAATAATTTATTTGAATATGCAAACAATCGTATCATATGTGTATATGTTTGCTTTGTTTGATATCTATCAAGATGATTATAATTTTTTCATGCTATGTGATCTGACAAATCGATATTGAAGACATTATGAATGAATGTGTATAAAGAACGAGTCATTGTTTGTTCGTTCGTGCCATTGATGATTTGTTTGAAGAAAGAAAAACAAAGAAAACTAAATTAACAATTGAAATAAAATTTAAATGAAACATAGCATTACAGTCTCTTGTCTTCTAGTTATGATCACTAAATAAAATAAAAAATCTAGAATCAAATAAGAGCATATGATCCTTTTTTTACTGTATATTAAATTTTATAAGTTCAACGGAAATTTTATCGAACTCACATTATGTTTTACGAAGAAAAATATAATGAGCGTAAGTTTTAAGTCGAAGTTTTGTGACTTCACCTTTCTTCATAGCAACAGCGGACAATAGGTGTCAAACTCTTCTCTCAAAGTTTCTTAGCAACTGAAAAACATGTTAAACAGCATTAACGACAAGGTTTCGACTGTTCTAGAACACTTCCATAACGGTCCCTGAATTTCGAATTAACTTTGTTTGGAAAAGCATTAGGATTTTATTGCCTGACTGATTTATACAAAATGAACTCGAACTAATATGCACGTGACACACCTCGATAGTACACTTGAAATAGCTAAAGAAATTCTAAACGACAACAGTCGTTATATGACCAATACAGAAATGTTTCGAAACGTATCGTAGTTATAATGGATGAGTACAATAGGCTTATTTGCCAGTTAAATCAATGGTTAAAATAATAATAACAATGTTAAATTAAGAAAAAAAAAGGGAAATAATGGGTGGATAGCAACAAAGAAAAACAAAAAATAGAGTATAACAAGCTTTTCTTCGGAATTTCGACTTTCTAGATTTCTTTCCTCTAGCTTTTTGCAATGATTTCCTGCGCAATATAATTCAAAAACATGCTTCAAATTTCACTGTTATGATTGTGTTGACTTAGAATTGTGGTTACTAATCTATGAGATCCATCGAGTCCCTGGGAATAGTACTGTTTAAAAATACCCAACACTTAAGCAGGCATGAATTATCAAAATAAATTACCTTTAATTTATTCATTACATCATGACCAGATTAGGTTTTTTTGTCTTTTTAAAATTAAATTTTGAAAAATCTTCTATAACTTGATATTCTCTTCTTAGACAAATTAAAAGGTTATCTATTGCATTGTCAACCTGTTTTCAGATGTGCATGTATACAGCTATACGTAAACGAAATATTCTTTTTTCAAAATTATTTCATAATCAATGAGTAACTGATATTACACCGAGACATTAATGACAAAAATTAGAATATTACAAAGTGGTTTGACTTCAAGATTTTGTCGTTTAATAGTTGTAGCAGATGAAAAAATTTTATTCATTTCTTTAAAAAAAAAGTAACTATCTTGATAAAAACCTACATTGAAAATTATGATTCGATAATATAGGATTGTCGACTAACATAAATACAATTTGTTAATTTTAAAATATTTATAATTGATCAAAACAATCAAGAAGTGCACATGATCATAAAGTTATATGATTGTGTTTGTCAAAAGCAAAAGTAAAATTATTCTAGTAGACCAATTGTTTGATTTTATTTTCTATAGTAATATTCGAATGTATTATCGTGTTGTACATTAGATGAAATATTATTTCCATTATTAAATAATATACATGAATAATTAGAACTTTGTCAAGGAAAATATGTCTTGCTAAATATTTAGAAGTAAAAAAACGTAATATAGGGTGTGGGTGTAAAGACGACCCATACCGTCACCCACATACCGAGACCGGCACCGACATCCACATTCACACCCACACCCAACGTAAGACAGTCAATCACACAGCAGCGTTACCAATGACTGCTGTTTACTGACAATTTTTTATATTGTAAAATAGAAATCTATTGTTACAAAAAATAAATAAATAATCAACTATGAACAAATACTGATTGACATATTAGAAAGTAGAACGCTTCGAAAATAAAACAATCCTTCATTTTCCTTACATTTTACAATAATGTATGATTGATTCGGTCGAATTCGTATGATAACAAGAATATAAAGCTTTTTTTTTCATTGGCAATTAGTAATATCAACATGATTGTTGAATCGCTTATAGTAATAAATCAAAATATTTCTCATTCGAATCATTTCAATGTTGCTTGACAATATTTAACTTAAACCTCAATAGATTTATCTGAAAATCAGATTTATACGACTAATTTCAGATCGCTTTTAATTATAGACGAAAAAAAAAGCAATGTTTATATAGTGCAACATTTTTAAGACTACGACTTTATCTGATTTTTTGAACTGGGAAGAACTTTCTGAAAATTTAATCACAGTGAGCTCGATAAAGTTGATTCAGATTCGTTTATCATGTGCATCCAAATCAAGAATAAGAATAGGTGAAAAACATTGACGGCAAAGCCACAAGACTATACTAGGTCAAAGTCTCTTCTAGATTCTAGTATCGTAGGCTAGATTAGGCTCGACTTAAACATTTGTTTATTATTTATATGCTTAAGAAACATTTTCAACAAAATGAACCAATTCACATTGAAACTTCTTGTTTTTCTGCTGTGAGAACATAGCAGCTCTATGATTATTCTTTTTTTTCCATAAAGCAGATCAAAGATCTTCTTTCAAGAGTCAAAATGAAATAAAAGCAAGTGTTCTCGTATTTTTCTTTTAAAGCGTACCAATTCTATATAGCGCAATATTTGAGTTGCAAATAAGATATATTAACTGTATTTCATCTCAATAGCATAAAAAGATTCGACACCTTCCTTACTCTTCGTCCCTATTCTTAACTTGTTAATGAGGATCTTATAAAGTTTGTTGGACTTATCATTTAAATTCCAAACTTTCCGTTACCTATAGTAGAAGCAGCATATTACTAAGTATAAAGATCGATTTCCTTTATTCGGAGATGAGATATATTCTCAAGACGTTCCAACTTGTCCATCGTGAAATGACAATCTTAATAAAATATTAAATAAAAACTTCAATTGTCCACTCAATCTGAGCTAGTTTTTATCATGAAGAATCAAACGATATTTTTTTGAAAAATTTGAAAAATTTTTCTTATAGTTTCATATTTGTTATCCATTGTCTATATTTCTAAATAAACTGAAATAATGGAAAGATATTATCGACACTATTCTGATAATTGAACATTAAACGAGCTCATATACTATAGATATATTAAAAAAAAACGCTTTTGCTTGAAAATTCAATATCTCGATAAAGGAATATTTTACTAGTCATTTGACATTGTTTATGAACAAAATTTCAGATCGAAATATTGTTATTTGATTGTTTGATCAACATCTAAAGATAGACTAAAAATTCAGTAAAACGGTCATAACTCGGCTCGAGAGGCCCATGAAAACGAACTTTTTTAGGATTTTCTAGTCTTACCGAGACATCTCTTGTGAATCGAATATAAGCTCAAACGGCGAATATCGATCTGGGTTGTTCCCTCATAAGAAAAATGATAAACGAACATCGGAATATTTTTCGAGATGAACAAGTACTTCTAACATCAATCGTATTAGAAAGAAAATATTTGTTAGGTAAAGTAATTGAACAATTATATGAATTATTAAATTGAATTGAAGTTTATGTTAATTAGTTCTTTCCTTGTACTCAACATGATGCTGTGCTTTATTCAGCTATTTAAAGAATTAATCTTCTTACTTCGAATGATTATTCATTTTCCGTAAATATAATTTATTATTCATTTGATTATTTATTTTCTTTAATCCTTTGAGTCCTGGCGACGTATGTATACGACTCGTTATTTGGCTGAGAATATCAACAATATAGAAATACGTATGGATGTTGTTATTGAATCAACATATCACTAGCTAATTCTTTGATCATTTTGAAAATTGTTTTATCTGTTAGAACACGGACTAGGGTCGTGAAATCATCATACATTCTTTTTCGTTGTTCCACATATGAGTAGCATAAGTCACAAAGTAAGGATCACACAGATCGACTACTTTTGGAAGATCTCTGACAAGGGATTGCCTTTTCGTCTAACTGCTCGACATTTTTCTTGG